TTGCATTTGTTCAGTGGAATATGGAACCCTCTGGTACATATCAGTTAAATGTTGTTCAACCAATCGCTAAACTTGCACTACGTGCTTGGGCTTTGGCACTTCCGCTCAGTGAGAATTTCAACCACAACTATTGAATGACAAGGTATTAATGGGAGTTAAGGGGGGAACTATAAGTTTGGAGTTGATGCAGAGAGTTTTTACTACCAGGTCTCTACAAGTAGCAATATTCTCCGATGCAAACACTTAATAGAGGCAGCCTAGTAATCACTTTATAAGAAATTCTCAGCTCTGGTAAAATGTATTCCGTAGAACGTTGGGTCAATTTACACACCTTTTCATGATACAGTAGATTATCGGTGAGTTCATTTCTTTGCAGAACCTTCATTCGCCTATTTCTGCCGAATACCTCATTCTTTTTTGAACAGAAAACATTCGTTTTAATTTTGAAGGGAAATCTTCTAAACAAACGGATGTTGTGGCCGAAGAAAATTACTGTGAGCCTTACCTTGGTAGATGTATTTTGGGTATGATCGAACAACAGCTTTGTGTTGATATTTCCAATTTTCCAATCTACAGATAGTCGACTTAAAAGCGTTTTACTCTTCCAACAAAGTTCCTAATGCTATTCATCCAAACCGCGCTATATGTCCTTTCTAGAATTGCTACTGGCGAGGCCTTCGGAGGAGATTCCACAGCGCAGAATCCACTCAAAAGCAGCATAAGGCGGAAGTGATTTTCTATTCTCTACCCTCACTTCGGTGGCCTTGAGACATGGATTGGTCAGAACTCATTTCTTGAGAGCCAAAAAAATCTCTATAGTAGATTAAGTACGGATTGAAGAGGAGTTCGTAAAAAGATCGTTGCGAGCCGGTGGTTGTCCCGAAAACCTTATAAAACAGCGTCAGAAGCCGAGACTGATGCGCGATAAAAGTATGGACACCGAGAAGAGGCAAGTTTTTATCACTTTGTCTTTTAAAGCTCATTTATTCAATCAAGTAAGCTGTAATCCTGAATGAGCTATAGGGCACACAGCGGCGCAGTTGCATTTGCTGCAAACGACAAAAAGGTTGTCTTAAAAATCAACCAAACAGTCTTGCTGATCCCAATGTCTTACATATTGCTGCCAGTTCAGTTCCAGTTGTGGTCCAGTACACATTGGCAGGACGGATTTCTGGTTGACTCAACGAATGGCTAACAGACTTGATGACGCAATCCCTGGAGCGATACGCAACGATATTAAACCACCAGTTTTTTTTCCAATGCAAGACACCTGATTGCATCAGGTCACAAAGTTGACCTGAGCTAGTGTTTAAAAAGGTTGTTACCCAGTCCAACGCCGACATTAATATCGTTCATTGAAGCGACTCCAATCACGATGCATCAGCCAGCACTCTGTGAACAATGAATACTGACCCGAAATATTTGTTCACCCTGGCGGTAACACGACCGAGCTCACTGTCCTCAACGTACATATAGGAAGAACTTTCGATCATCCTTACTTAAGTGTTGCATTTACCCCCTACTGTACAACGTATATATACTGATACGTTTCACGTTCGCGGTTGACAAGAGTAAGAGAAAAGCTTGCATCTCTTGGCCTCTATCTTACTTCTTTTGTGGTTAAAGATTTCGGCAGTCACCTTATCCGTAGCGTCTGTCTAATGTTATAGATTCAGTTCCCCTACTCATCTTCTAACCAGTATTTGCCTAGCCAAACATCGTGCCCCCCAGATATCCTATTTGGTTTCAAAGACAAAATAATTTCCTTCGATCTTGGTTTGATGAGTTTAATTCTTTTTCCAGGTATTTAATTTGTAAGCTCCAGAATCACCGCAGAACCTCAATCTGATAAAGCGTTCCCGCCAGATTCCGGCAAAGGTATAAAAACATAGGAATTCAAATACCTATAGATTTATTCTATCTTCTCTCAGAGGTGGTCTGCCTGACTTGTTCAGTTTATACTTACCTATTCAAAGGTTATATAATGTTATGTTCACGCCACAAACGACTAATTTTGGAAAATCGAAACGAGTCTTCTGCATGTGGAAAGACAGTTACCCGATATCTGATCACCCGATGAAATACCGATATCTACATAGCAGAAATTATGTACTTGATTTAGACTCTCCCCCGACAGCGAAATGTTCGATGTTGAACATGACCATTCCTTTACCAGAGTCTGGCAATTTGAGTTTTCCAGAGGGCCACCAATCATTGTTATGCACCTATTCGAGCAGTACAGAAACGCTTTAATTTACTTGGTTCTATATATTTGGAAGCAACGTTTCCTCTAATGATTAGGGTTTTGATGAATTCCTACCGGACAAGCTTTGTATATCGGTATCCTCACAAGGATAAAAAGCGATTTCTAGGACCACAATCATCACAAAGTTAAGGAGAAACAGAGAGAGGGCTAACCCTAACATACACCCAAATAATGCCGGTGAGCTCGGGCTGAAGATCGACAGACTTTACGGTAGATATGATTTTATCTAGTACACGCAATAACAAGCGGCAGTGCCTGAGAGCTGTGCAATCAGCTGTGTCAGAAGTTGCATTCTCGTGGATGAAAACGGAGAGGCTGAGCCCACGAAATGTGTACCCATATTCTGAAATATTTCAAACAGTTGTGACCAACACAACACGGGTAGACAACCCATTTTATTCTCGCATCTGCGCTGCTCACAAAAGCTAAACACGCGGCAATAAATCACGAAGAAAAAAAGTTTACATGCGACGCTTGCCAGTTTTATTACCCAATGTTTCTCGCAGGAGGACTTGTTGCCATTCTTACAAATCGGTATGATCACAAGTTCACAACAAATCCTTGGAACTAGTTCCTTCGATCATACCTAGCTGAGGAGATCTTGTAACCTAAGAAACAAAGATAAGTGGCCAATTTTGAAGGCACACAGAGGCAGCCTATTCGGTTTGGCAGTTTGAAATACCTCATAATAAATCTCGGTTTCTGATGGAAGATTGTTTTCTACACCTGGAAATTTACTAGTCGTGCTACTCATGGAATATACTGGGAATAAAGGCAGGTAAAATGTTTCTTGAAATGGCAAACCCATGGATTGTGACGGAGCACTTGAATGTAGATCAGTGACTCATGAGGCTCCTTGGTCAACTGGATGAAGCGTAACTTGCTTGGGCTGGTATGTATTATTGGACTGAAAATGAGTATGGCTTTTGCCAATGGCCGCTAATTCTTCCTCCTCCATTAGCTTGTCAACCTATCCCTGCTCAAGGCCTTTTCTTAATTTGCAAATTGTTTGGTGTCCTAGACTGGTTTTACAAACGGAAGAAACTGGAACCGGTGGTAAATCCAGTCTTGACAAAGGTCACCCGTGGCGACCGAAACGTCGACAACCTTTGAACGATTTCAACTACACTGTGTTACTAGCAGTAAAATTTTATCAGAACTACAAGCCCCTTCACAGCATACTTTGGCATTTATTTATTATTGATCCTAATTCATGCAAAGTTCCCCATTGAACTTACTTCGTCCATCAAAATTAATTTTCTACAGCCGTTTGAATTTAATGGTTTCTGGTAATGAAACTGAATCCCATACATAAAAACAGGTTTTTATGGAGCTTTAATTTTGAACTCAACCTCATGCTCTGTTGCAAAGGAAGCTGCTAATGGTGTCGGTAGGTTCTAGGCAATTGACTGCATCGAACAAAACATTTTTAGATTGCATATTTTATTGCGAAACATTTTCCAGGAACGTTTGTCATCCATGGATTTTTGTGATGCTGTAAAATGTTTCCGAATAAACGTTAACCTCACTGGAAGTAACCCGAACATTTCCAGTGTTGATCCCAGGTAACCAAATAATGATTGGGTCTATCTGCCTACTTTGAAAGTGGATTCGATTGGGCAAGCTCTCCTTGCTAGTGTCTGAATCACGTTGTAAATGCTTACCCGGTTAAGGTAACAAACGATCATTCCACATTCAAACTATCTGCGCTAAATGGAGCGAGGTCCACACAATGAAACATATTTGCAGAGTAGAAAACAAAATGACTCCAAATTAAGTTAGGATAATCAGAGGTGGTATAAAGACGTTTTCTGGGTTATTTTTTACCTCAACAATGTACAAGTGAAATGATACTGAGACTATTCGCCCTCTGGAAAGGAGACAGATCTACTGCCTCGGAGAACTGTGTTAGTCATTCAAAGTTTATTTCTACTGAAGTAAAACATTTTGAGCGTGATTCTGCTGGAAGTTATTGTCTCTGTTTTTTGGAGAAGAGATTAAGCAATTTGGTTTCAGCTCAAGTCGCTTTTGTCACAGCATTATCAACTGAAGGATTAAAACAAATGCTGGTTTCTAGCGTCTTGTGAAGTAGCGAGTCCAAGGAGGTGCACAATAAACCTTTTGTTACTAAATATTGTTAGACTTCGGTAAAAAATAGCGAACGAAATTTTGTCTTGAAGAAGACTCGTTTTCTTTATGTTGCTTGCAACTTCCATCTTCTCATGTTTATTGTGAATTTTATGCAATGGGATAGTACAGAGTCTAAACGAAGCCTTCATTTGTTCGACGATAACAGGTGGAGTAGACCGATGACCATACTGGTAAGTAATCTCCTACTCTAATATCAGTGAGAGAGGAACCGTTTTGGTGAGAACCTACGCCAGCAGATGTTGTGGTAAATGGTAACTACCTACATCCTTGTCTGCTCAATTTGTGCTCATTAATTTCAGAGTGGCTCATAAATTTGACCTTTTAGATGGATTCAACATTCCAAAAACATATTTGATTGCATCAGATGAACATGTCTATCGTTATTCCAAGGACACCACTGACAAAATGAAATTTGATTTGGACGTACATTACGATTCGAACGTCTATTTCTCTTGAGAATCCCATATTCCGACGGGGTTTTAATCCAGTGGCGTAGGCGAGAATCCGCAATCACTGTTTGTTCAACGAAAGTTGCGCAGTCTATGAATGACTGTGTCGGCTCATCATTGACGGAGACGACCACTGCTATATCAATCTAGAAAGAAGATAAATGCAAACTGAAATATCAGTGAGATGGGTGCCTAATTGGATGAGTAAGAGCTAACTGATACTTTCGTGTGCCAGCTCCTTTCTTCGTTTGTGACTATCCTTTTCAGAGAAGAGAAAACATGAATTTTATTCTTTCATATGCATATCGAACTTGATCAATTGCAATTCGTCAGTTCCTCCAGGTGGCTCATCATAACATCCTCCACATATTTGTACCATTGCTACTTCGTTTGGTCAAAACGAATGATTCAGATAACTTTTTTTAGTATTTATTTTAGTTTTGATTAGGATTTTCTGCACTATAGAAACGGGTTTCATGGCCTCATTTTCAACGAAATTTATCATTTTTTGATATATACAACATTGTTTGACTTATTTGCTTTGTGTGTGTCTTTGTAATTAGGATATTCTGTAGCATGCGAGGTACACACGCAGAAAATCAGTTCATTAGTTGGTTTATTCAGCTCGGTTTTATCAATGAAGGCTGCGGACTATCAGTGTATGGACAGCCAACTGGAATAGCTCAAGGAGTGATTGCGTTTATTAGACAACTTCACCTATGGTCAAGAACTTAGTTAATTTTCCCAACCCCTGCTTTGACCATCAGGCGATGTTACTGCCAATAAGTAACGTTTGAAAGGAGGATTATATTCTCATTCGTACTTATGAACTATATCAAATACAAAACAGCAAAGCCACCCATTTGACGTTTACCGGAATAAAACATGAACCCGTATCAATTAAATGTGATATTTTGCACTGAATAACGTACCCAGCTGTCTTCATTTCCCGTTCCACACAGATCTCCCAAATTGAGGTCCACCGATTTGCGACCGATAGAAAACATTCTAAAATGAAATTCGGAATGTTGGCCCAAAATGAATACTCGATTTTTTCACACTCTATAAATTTGACACTCTAGACTCAGTATATATTTCTGTCAAGAGTGTTCCGATTGATGGAATGAAAATCAATAAACCGTATAATCCCCAAGCAAACCACTATTTCCTTATTTTTTCCATTGCACTAGCGTCAGATAAATTTGATACATTTGAATACCGTGTGCACATAAGAAACCGGACTGCTCTCAGTTGTTCAAAAAACTATAATTGTAAGAATATCATATTCACCTCTAAAAATCGAATGGTCTTGTACGCAAATTCGTTTGTCTTTCAACTCAATCTAAAATGATACTCTACTGCATGACCTACAAAAGATCTGGGAATTTTAAACTCACGTCGGTCTGCTCAGTTCGTTCGGACACTTCATGCCAGATCCGATTTCTCCAATGGTTGCATTTGTCAGCTGAACTCCTTCAGATACAGTACACCTCAAACTAGATCGCACGAGACATCCGAACCGACGAAAACGAATTCGGTATGATAAGTGGACGGCATTAGGTTCATCAAGATTGGAGCTGGAATCATCTTCCGATCGGATATTGAAATTGCGAAATTGGAAGTGACAAATCTGGTTCACGGGAGAAATTAGGGTTTGTGAGATAAGCTGATTTACGAAGTACGAGGTCTAATTCTTTGGATGAACTTACTGAATGCTGTGTGACTGTAGATTTCTAACTTCTACTAGCAATTCTTGTTAGGGAATGTATTTATTCGATTTGAAAAACAAGCCATAGAATCAACGGGAGATGTTACGTTTGTGCGCGCATTTGAAGACGCGCCAGGTGGGCTTTTCAAAAAACGTGAGTCCATTGCTCGATTCAGCTAGGATTTCGCCATTTATCGATTTGATTCACTGGCCGATTGACGATTTATGCATAATAAATCATTTATACTCAAGTGTGTTTGTAAGTATAAATCACATAATAATCGAACCAATTCTTCTCATTTGAAGACAAAAGTACCGATACAAGATTGGTTAGATATCCACAGTATCCACGTTGTAATAATGAGTTCTTTCAAGGAGCGATCTATTGTTTTCTTTTTATTTTAGGAGAAGAATTGATAAAATTGTACATTGACGGTCAGCCCAAATCTTTGTTCATTTTTATACCAAAACCTGTTTTAGTATGAATAAGCTCAATGGTACATTGTTAAAAAGTTCAAACATTTTACGTCCTTTTTGAATCATTTATCTGTTCACATTCTCCTGAGTGTGGTTGCTAAAAGATTTGAAGTCATTGCGAACGTTTCCCAATCAAATGTATAGGTGCTTCAATATGGCTAAATTTTGTCATGTAGAATCATCCACCATGCAATTCACACAAAACACACTCTAGATTATCATGAAGAAAAACGATGGAAATCTGAAGCTCATATTCATCTCCTTCCGGAGTTGGTAGTACAAATCCCTGAGTAACAACAAGAATGAACATTATGACAAAAACAGCTACGATTTCGCCAGGTTTTATTGAATATGAGCGTGGCTGAATTTGATGCATGATTTTCCTCAGAAATAGGTTCAGGATTTAGACAGAAATTCCGTGAGTCGGTTTATATCGCATTTCTCGTTCTTTCCACTCGACGTTTTATGCCTCCGAAGTTTTCACTTGGTGTTTAAAAATATCTTAAGACAGAGTAGGGAAACAACATTCTCTTGGAAGCCATTACATTTAGTTGACGCAGAAGAACGTGCCAAACATTAACTGGCGAAAACATTTGCGTTTCCAAATGCCTTTCAAACACAATTTCTTGAAATTCGCTGCTTTTGTGGCGTAACCATCAACGTGGGTTAGATAATAGAAGGTCCTACATGAACTACATGTGAATCAACAAAGATTGTTTCGGTGTAAAAAACAGTTAGGTAAATTACGAATTCCTGAAGTTTGCAGAAAACCTTGCTTTGTATCTTATTATACAATATAAACCAATTACCAAGTGTAATTCGTACATCAATTTCATGTACGTATTTGTTTAATTTACAGTGGTGTAGTCACATTACGGCTAAGTGAATACGTCCATGACGTCCCACATTATTTGAGTACAGACCTAGTAAAAGCTCAAGAAGCCCGTTTCTGAACAACCATAAGCCTTTCTCTTGGGAAAATAAGCTTTCACTATATTTATTGAATTAAAAAGACTAACTGCAGACAACAACAATACTTGGTGGCTTATCTTTCAGCGAATTATAATGGACTTTATTATGATTTATTTGGATGTGGCTGGTACTTTCATCCCTATGAGTTTCCGAAGTATGTCATCATTTTGAAACGTATGAAGCTTAGACAACGTTGACCAAAACACAATCGAACCGCTCACATCAATCGGATTGATAAATTTGATACTCGCCAAATTTCGGATTGTGTCCCAGGCGTGTGAGCTGACAAAACAGACCACATGGACACGAACCACTGCAAATGCAGTCACGTACTGATTGGATCCTGTTTTCGCGGTAGCTCGAACAGTGACAGCCATTGACATGGGAGAAAGAGCAGTGGGAAATTCCAACTCTCCGTTGTTTCGATCAATCCTCACTACGCTCTTTTGGACGACATTCTCTTCCATGGAATATTGGATTCTACCAGCAGATTCTATTTCGTTCGGTTGAAGACGAACACGAGATATCCGATTGGGTGTTTTATCTTGATTAACTATTATGTGATATATAGATTCGGTGAAGAATAATGTTTCCACAGCTGTGGGCAAAATAGACACAGAATGCTTTCGATAACAACAGCCTTGACATGTGTAAATTTATTTTAGGTAGGAATAACATCTATCAGAAATGAATACAAACTGAAGGTCAACTATTACGCGGACATGTATGCTTAGAGATGATTATAGTCGGCATAACGAAACCCTTTATTATTGCATGAAACAATAATCTCCAAAAACGTCTCTCAGAGGGAGTGTACTTTTAAATGTTGAAAAATATCTGACGGACTTACCACATTTGGTGCACTGTAGAAAAAACAGAATTGTTGCTACATAAAACATGGTCATCAACTGCCTGATGAAAAAAGAACAATTGCCGGGAGCCCACCACTCCAATGGATTTAAAGCATGCTTAATGAGCGGTGTCAGTTTCTAATTGGCCCGTAGGTGATTGGTTACCTGGTCCCAACAAACTTGGGATAATTGACCAATCAGTTGTGAATTAAATTCAGGTTGATGACAAACCAGAACATACTGTGTACTGGGGATGCTAGTGTAAAAATTCTCCATCTGAACGCTGAGTATTTTAGTTTCCAACCGCAAATCCCACGGAATAAATAGTCAAATACACAAAGAAACAACGCCTCATTAGTTTTAGTTTATCACAACGGTTCCCAACCGTTTTTGTTTGGTAAGCAACCAAATAGGTTCTCTTTCACAGCACTGATAATTCTGCTAACCGTTATGCGATGTGCGTCAGTATGGTGTTTTGAAACACTGAATCCTAGAACATCGTAAAAGACTAGACAAGACACTCAGTTATACATCATCTATCTGAAAGTATCAAGTGGATTAACTGATTACGATTCACGGGGGTGAACATTCAGCCTCCACATAATTATGTACCCCTCCTCAAAAACGTAGAAATAATACAACATAAAACGAAATGAAAAACTGATGTAATAAGTGGTAATCAGTTGTGCTATTCCAAATGCTGTGCTAGTTCTGACGGTATAGAAGCTGGATTGTGTAAGTACCTGGCCAGATAGTTAATGGTTGAATTGCTGTATGCCTATAGTGGGTGCATAAAGCTTTTTGTATCAGGAACGTATAGAATATGTGGATGTACATTTCACTAGGTCTTTGTGAAGTGGATGCGAAGAGCCAGTGAGAACCCCTCAAAAACAGCTTTTAACAAGCTTTGCCATGTTGTGATCTGATAAAGTTAGTGAAATGCCGTTGGGATATACCGTTACCAGATGATTACATTTTAAGCGATTGTGCAATGAAGTTAACAAACAAAAAATAAGGCTTTTGATAACATGAGTGAGCAAAGAGTGAAATTTAAAACGTGAAATTTAGAAAGACAAACGTCTAGCTTTTGCGAAGTAAAAATACCGTCAAGCATTACTCCAAGGTACTTCATTGAATAAAGTTGACTCAGCTGTTGCCTATTTATTGTAATGGAATTGCAGTCATTCTGAAAATAGGATTGTTTCCTACTGCTTACAAAGAGAAAACGCAATGTCACCACATATGATTAGGGTGAGGCCTAGGTTACAGACATGAGAATAATCTGACATTCGAGTGATGCTATTTTGGAGGATAGGAAAATTATAACCCCAGGCCTGTAATAATACAAATGCGACCATCTCCGCATATTTGGTGAGATGAGTATTTTCTTGCAAAAGAATCGTAGAAAAGTATGGAGAAACCAAGAATGGTGTCAGTAAGGCCCCTTGAGAAATGTCTCTCATAAAGGATAAGTCGGCTCTACGGATATCACGGACCATTGCTCTTCACGCGAGGGTCAGTGGCGTGTTCGGTACAGATCGTGATCTAGGCCTTTTCCCATCGCTGGACTTCACCGATCGACCGAAAGCCTGGAATTTCTAAATCTTTTTCTATTGTGCTCGTCCGCGTTTTGATCTGCCCACAAAGTTGACAACACCAACCAAGGCAAGAAGTAAGGCAGTGTTTGTCCGATTATCTATGACTCGGGTCACCGAGGGGTTTGGACGAACCGTTGTAGTCTTCGACGTTGGAGGAGGACGAAGAGCTCATCGACATCAACGCACCGTCTTTCTACTTTTGACAGTTGATTTCGAGGATTTGCGGTACGTAGCAGTGATCAAAAACCTCCAGCCTCCTGGTCTACTCAGCTCCTACTGACTTGGTTTTACAGCCGTCGATGAGTGCTGGGTAGAGGAAGAGGGATGGCTGCAGAGCAAACACGAAATGTTCCCCAAACTGATTTCACTGCAAGTCCTCAGCGTTTGTTTCAGCTGAAAGAAGGCTCTCCGCGCGCATCTGATCCCTAATACCACTTTACGGTTTGCCAAGCTGTTCGGAAGCAGAGGTGGGTTTAGGCATTTGAAAGTAAAGACGTATTCAACTAGTCGGTAACCGACGGACAGTTGTCGAATCGACTGGCCTAGATGGATGGTGAAAGCTTGCGTTTCGATTGAATTCACTTCTAGTCTAGTGGATCTCAAGAAAACTGATTCTGTCGGAGGTTAGCTGGAGCGTAGCGGGGGAGTCTTCTCGCACGACAATATCATCCACGAACTTTGGGTCTGATATTTTTGTTTCCTTGCTGAGCTAAACCACAGGGTAGCCGCCTAGTGCGTGACGCGTTGTCCAATCAGTAGCGTAGGTAAAAAGCACTGGTAAGAGAAAACAGCCCTGTATAGCTCCGGAAGTAAGTGCGAACTC